GATTCATCAAAAAACATTTTTCTTGGTTTAGTGCTTTTTGTGAATTTGTGCACCTGGCTCTGAAGACGAAAGTTCCACAAAATCCTCTTTCGAATCCACTCCAGCCGCTTCTTCAAACGAGACTAGAGCCTACAACTTGTTTTGTGAGCAGGACTCGAGCCCAAGGGCTTCGGATTCTGACTGACTCCTGACCAATTTCGAGTCGTTTTCGTCGCCTCACCTCCAACTTTCCCATTTCCTATCTCCTCCCATTCTCCACAGGCGCTTTCCCACCGGTGAGCGGAATTCCCGGCGCCGAATTCTACGCCGCTGCAGCCGCCGCCGCAGCTGCGGCCGCCGCCAACTCCTCTGGTGTTCCCAGTCCTTCGGCTGGCGTCGTCGTCGGCAGCGGCGCTGGTGGCAACGGTGGTGGCGGTGGGCACTCGAATTCACACGCCTCGGCGCACACTCATAGTCACTCTTCGGCTGCCGTTGCAGCCGCGGCCGCGGCTGCCGCCGCCGGTCTAGGCTACGCCCCCGGTACGGCGGTGACTGTTGGCAACGGCGGCGACGCCTCGGCAACCGTACCGACTGGCGGCTACTCAACGAGTTCTGCGGCTGCGGCGGCAGCTGCCGCAGCAGCAGCAGCAGCTGCAATCGGTAGCATCTACTCCCTCGGCAACCGGGTCGATGAGACCTGTACCGCCTATCCGCATGTTCATCACCATCAACACCATCAACCGGCCGGTTCGACGCGTTCCAACTCGGCCTCAGCCATCGGACCTGCCGGTACCACCGGCACTGCCGGCAGCCTCACCAGCCTCGGGTCGTCAACGTCGACGTCGGGGGCGGCCGGCAGTCTCGTCGGTTACTACCCGGCCTCGGCCGCCGGCGCCTATTCCCCCGCCGCCGGCTACCCAGCGCCCGATTCCCCCTCCTCCGTCTCCTACCTCCACTCGGGCCTCTCCGGCCTCTCCAGCCAGCCCAGCCACCATCTACACCACGTCGCGGGTACCGGTCACTCGGCCGCCCACCACCAACACCAGCTACAGCAACAACAGGCCCATCTTCTCATGGGGCAACAACAGCAACAACAACAACAGGCGCCGGCATCACTTTTGCATCAATCGCAGCTGCAATCGCAACTCCATCTCGGCCATTCGGCCGGTCAACCACTCCATCATCCCACCAGCTCCACTCCTCTCGGCCTCTGTCAAGACTCCTCGGACGTCCTTGACGCCGCCCAAGACGTCGGCGCCAACAACGCAGCCACTCTGGCCGCCGCCCGTTATGCTGCCGCCGCATTTGCGCTTCACCACCACCACCAACATCATCATCACCACCAACAACAACAGCAACAGCACAGCTTGGACGTGCAGAAGAGCCACCAGTCATACCTGTCTGGTGTTGCCAACACGGCAGCAGCGGTTGCCGCGGCAGCCGCTGAAGTCTCCTCTTCTTCCTCCTCCTCCTCCTCCTCGTCGTCGTCATCATCGTCGTCGTCCGCCTACACTCCCCCCTCTGGCGGGGGCGGGCCCGGCGGCGCGTCAGGATACGCCGCCGGACACACACCCAACGGCCACCTCGGCCAGTCGGACGGTTGCCTACCGATCGGAGCCACAGCTACTGCAGTCTCTCGTCTCTCGGCCTACTACTCGCATCACCTGGCAACCAGTGCCGCGCCCGGATACATCGTGACCGAGGCCGACCTGGCCGCCTCTCAGGTCAGCCCCACCCTGCAAGCCTCGGCAGCCGTTGGCGCCGGCGCCGGCTTCACCATCGCCTCTCCTCCTCCCGCCCCGACGACCGGTTCCGTCTACTCCGCCTCTTCTGCCGGTCCGCTTGGCCTCGGCCACACACCACTTCATCTGCCCCCACTTCCGCATCACAGCGGCCAGCATCTGCTCACCAACCACCACCACCACAATCAACCGCATCAGCCCCATCATCACCACCATCAACAACAACAACAGCAGCAACATCAGCACAGCAACCACCATCTCCATCAACAACACCATCCCTCGGCCGGCGGATTCCTGGGCGCCACCAGCGTTCCGGTCACGGGCCAACCTTCACTGCAGGACATTCACGCCGCCTAGACCGCTCCTTGACCCCGGGCCCAACAACCCGAACTCGAGCCGACCATGCCCCATGTACACGAAAGATCCGCACACATAAACACACACACACACACACACACACACACAAACAGAGCCCTGAGATGGACCTGCTTTATCTTCTCCTGTCTTGTCTGGTCTGGTCTGCTCGTCCACGTACAACACAACATTGTACAACCCTCATCTCTCAGCTATATACCCCTTCGGCCGAAACTTCGTGAGTCAGACCGACGAGACTGGCGCCTGACTCTCTTAGATAGCGCCATCTCATTTTCTCACCTGCATGCCTGCACTTCCGAGTGGACGTTTTGCGTGAGTGCATGTTTGTATGCTCGGTTGTGCCTTCTCGTAGCCGCCTCCAGACCTGAAACGAAGTGTACACAATTGCTTTGCCCACTGGTCCGCTAGTCATTTGCGATAGAATTACTCTGTTTTTTTAGCCAACCCCATTTGCCCATCTTCACACTATCAGTATGAGCGGATTGCTCACCTCCTGTCCATTTGTGCCCAGGTACCGAAGTCAGGTGGTCACGGCAACCGAGGCCTTGCGATTGCCCTCGAGTGGCCATCGGCGCCTCGACGCCAAAACGTCTCGTGTGACCGCGAGTGCAGTCGTCGTCTGCAATCGCAGACT